TCGAGTAAATTACATCCCTTGCTAGCATGAAATCGATTTATCTAGTACAAAAAATGTTCATTTTGGTGTTAAAAAAGAGCTTCATTCAATGAACAATGTCGAGAAAATTAGTGGGATATTCTACCTCTGTTCATTACCATATCCTCTGTCATTGTTTGGAATAGACCTATAATTAGGTATCGGTACTTGCGGGGGCGGAGCCATAACCACAAGGACTCAAGATATTGATGATCGGATGGCCGGAGGCAGAGGTGGTGCGATCGTGTGGAGGCTGTGCAATTAGAGTAGATGGGTGGGATTTCAGATTTGGGAAGTGAAATTGGAGACAGGTGGGAAGTGAATTGGGGTTTACATTTTTTGGATTGGGCTGGGCCTGGGACGTTGGGTAGTATATTTTGTCGTGGTTTTTGGGCTTCCTCCTTGGTTGGGCTGGTTGGTAAAGGCCGATCTAAAAAAAAAAACATTAGGCCTTTGGGGCTTGGATTAAGCTTGTTGCAAAAACTAAAGCATCTAATGGCAATACGCTAAGCCTGTTGCTAAAAAAGAATTTATGGCAACGCGCAATGCACGTTGCTAAAACCATTAATGGCAACGTGCAATGAACACGCGTTTCTAAAACTATTAATGACAACGTGCAATGAACGTTGCAAAAAGGTTAATGACAACGTTTAAATGCATGTTGTAGCAACATTTAATGACCACGTGTAATGAATGCGCGTTTATAAAACTACTAATGGCAACGTGCATTGCACGTTGCTAAAACTAATCTACGGCAACGCACAATGCACGTTGTAAAATGTTAACAGCAATGCGCATTGAATGTTGCAAAAAAAAAAAAAAATTATAGACAACGGACCGCAAACGTTGCAAAAGGGTGTATTAGCAACATTCATTAAAAAAACGTTTCCAAAACTCAATTTTGTCAACCAATAACATAGACTTGCTGAATGTTGCCATAGACCCCTTTTAGCAACATGCAATTGATGAATGTTGCCATTTGCATGTTGTAAAAGACCTTTATTCTTGTAGTGAAGAGCAAACTTACTGATAGTAAAACATGTTACATAGACAAAAAAATGATTACACAAATATATTGANTTAGCAACATGCAATTGATGAATGTTGCCTTTTGTATATTGCAAAAGACCTTTTTTCCTTTAGTGAGATCAATAACAATAAAAAGAAAATAAATCAAATCCATCAAAAATCTTGAATACCTAAGAAGCACCAAGCCCACTAATGTGAGTCACGTCGCAAAGCAAAAGGGCACTGCATTTGTCCGCAATCTCCCTGAACCTCTTGTAATCCTAATCTCTAAGATAAGCACTTCGTCTACAGATAATCAATTTAGACCTTAAATCCATGGCCTTCTTCTTCAACCTATCGTAATCAATGTACCTCATCTTCTAATCCGCTTTATATAAGGCAGGCACTTGAAGTAAATCGAAGTGGCACTAATTCTCTTCCCACCGGAGGTATAATACCCATGCGTCAAATACCCTGCAAAAGGCAAATCAAGACTCATGATTTTATCATGAGGATTAAGAATCGCCTTGTACGCGGTGAAATTCTGACGAGTCACTGTGGGGGCAGCACATTGACATGACACCCCCATTTTATAGGATCGATGCGGTAGGCTGGGAGAACACAGGACCAGGTGAGATTTTCAATCTCGTCGATGTATTCATTTTCTCTGTGGTATCGAGTTTCGGGAATGCCCTCGGAGTACTTGTTAGTGAGGGTGCTGCTAAGAGCCTCAATAATGGCGAGGGTCTTGACAATTTTTTGATTCAATGGAAGATAAGAAGGGCTGCCATGATCTCACTCGTTAATCTCATACACAATGTTAGCTAAAACAAGTAAAAAGGAGAGAAAAATCAAGGATCATAAAGAGATGGAATTAAATTTACTACAGGATCTTAAACCTGTTGATGGGTTAGTTTAGCTCTTGCATGAAAATGATTTTCTGGAGGATGAATTGCTGGAAATGGCTGCAGAGGAAATGGAAAATTTAGGGTTTTAGAGAAAAGAGGGTTTATTTGCTTGAAAGAAAGCAACATTTGAATCTAAATTAGGGCAACTAAAAGAAAAATAAAATTAATTGAATGTTGACGATAGGAAATGTTGACATGTGTCTTTAAAATTATTACTAGTGGCGTGAACGTACGTTGCACGTTAACTGAATAATGTTTAAAAATAAGTGCATATAAATATGAAAGAAATTCATTTGTGTTTGTGACATATATTCATAAGTTGGTAGGAATTGACTTACTTTTCATCTCTTTTCTTTTTATGTTTTTTATTCTTGATACGAACATTTGGTATTCACCGAATTTAACTTCTCGTTACAACTATTTATTTATTAAAGTTCTATACAATCATAGAAGTCTCAAGGCAACAATAAAAATAATTATCCATTAATCATCATTCTTTTGGTCTCAAGGCATGACGGATTTTATGAGAACTTCAAGATCAACTTTGCTATATAACAAGAGTCCTAGTATGCAATAATGGAAGATTTCTACAAAAATCAGAATGATAAGCATCACCCTTAGTTAAGTATTCAGTGCATAAAAAAAATTAATTTTCTTACAAATGAGCACATTTATTCAAGAAAAACCTAAACAAGTTAAACTAAGCAACACGAGGAACAGATTTTAAAATTGGGTCACCCATACAATAAGATGGTTTACTCATCGCTTACTGTTACATTGACCAGATGAATCAGAATCACTTCTTATCCTATCTCTAATTGATTATTTGCCTCCAACTATTAGCTCTAAATAAATAAAAGAACTATTTTATGCACTTTTTACAACCTGCAAAATACAATTAAAATGAACATAGCAAAGTTCATGAGTGCATATTTCGAAAACACATATAGACTTCAAATGCAGGTAATTCCATACCATCAAAATTATCCAAAACATACAAGTTACATATCTTTTTTTTTTTTTTTTAACAGTGAGGACAAGCAAAAGCACCTCAATGGAATCCACATTTCCACATAAAACTGATTAAAGTGCCTTTTTTTAACCCAAAAAAACTACAAATGAATAATGGGACTATATGATTTCACAAAAAAATAGTAGATGCAGAACCCATAGAACCAATTATTTCAATCCAAAACTCGTTAATTATTTTTGTAGGTTCCAAATTATTAAAATATTTCAAATCGTACAAGAAACTGCTAAAATAATAAACATGATCTAATGTAGGTATAAACAAAAGAAGTGTGGTAATGTGACTACCTGAACTCTCGGGCATTTGGATGCTGACGAAAGCTCAGAAATCCTGCCCATTTAATTAAACAGTAATTGGAAAAAGAATAAGCAAAAATTCAACGAAAATTAATCACACTTATGATAGATTCATAAGCATCACTCCACTTAAATTACTTGTACAACTTGATTATGAAAGTTAACCAAATGTTGCTGAATATGAAAAATAAAAGCTTCGAGTTAAGAGGTTGATAGCTTATTCACCAATTTAAAAGCCTGAAACCTAGGAGGCACGTGTCATCATGTGCTCTCCTAAGTAAATTGAATAGATCTCTCGCGATAAAAAAATTGGATAAAACTACCATGGCCCAGATATAAAGGTCACCCATGTAGATTATGAAGGCAAAACCTCCAATCATCCAAGCGGATGAATATATAGGGAGGGATTAACATCGACTTGTATTTGTTTGTATCGTCTATAAGTAAATGGCTTCCATTTGCTTTAACAACTTAAGGAGGAACCTAAAAGATTAGAAATGAAAGGCAGTAAGATAAGAGGTTTGAAACGACATTATAATTTATTTATTTTTTTTCCAAAAAGAGGTATTTTGATTCAAGAATATTTCGGACACAAAATTTAACAACAAAGAAAGAAAGAAAACGAAAATGGACAAAATTGTAGTCCTCGCAATTCTTATTCACTATAATAAAAACTAAATTCCCGAAGTTAAGATAAAACATATCGAAAGGGAAGTAACATTTAAATACTCTTCTTCACATGTTCTTCAACTGTAGTTTCCGAGTAACGATGTGAAGAACAAATTCCTCAGCATTTACTAAGTTAAATAGGAGGTAAATTTCCTAATAGCTCCTAATATAGGTATACTGACTGTTGCAATGTGATCGAGCTTGCATCAAAAAAGTTGTACTTCGATAAAATAATACAAAATTAATTTAAAATCTCCAAGCATAAATGAGGCAAAGGTTAGATTCTTTCGTTTTTAGTACTTCGTATTTCCTAGTTGAAGCAAATTAGTCTTAGCAAAAAAAAAATCAATTTGGCCAATTTTATGTGTTTGAGAAGAGCATAAAACGACTTAGTTGTATGATGCATAAATTGCCTCAAAAAATATAACCAACCTCATTTGAGCCTCTGCGATGGCGTTGCCACCCAGTAAAACTGCTAGGCAGTGATGGACCCTAGAATTGGTGTTCTTTTGCACAAGTCTAGTTGAACTCCTCTGGAAATGTTAAGTATTCTAATTCCACGAATTCAACTGAGAAACCAAGAGCAAATATTGGAGCATTTAGTGCCACTTAAATCTCTAAGTGGATGGATGAAACAAACCAAAGTAAAAAAATGGACTCCCTCATCCTTTTTGGTCCTGATATCATCTCATAATTCAAGGCCTTACAAGGTACAGTAAAAAACAAAAGAAGGAAGAGAACAGTCTCTCCTCACGTTTCATTTAAATTTTTCACATGCTAATGTTCATTAAGTTCCAATAGTATCAAAGTAACCGTTGGGGAAAAAAAAGAACACGAGCTTATTATAAACAACTAAAAAGGACAGGAAAAAGAATCAACTACAAGAATTCCCTTAGTTTGATATATAACCTTTTGGTTACCCGAGCATGAACCACTAACATGTTTTATTTTCTTTTATGCAAAACTTACTCTGTTAAACAGAGCAAAATTCAAGAACCTCTCATTTTTAGTAAACCAAAATCTCATTTTACATTAACATAAAAGTTGAAAAGACAAAAAAAAAAAAAAGTCCTTACCATGAAATTTTGGCTTCTTTAGGGTTTTTGTATGGAAACTCGAAGTCGGAATCGAGCGGAAGCAAACATCTCAGCAACGCCTTCTTCTTTGTCCTTAGGTCCGACCACCTGTGCAACCAAGCATGCTAGTCTTTCTGCCTCTAAAGCCTCCACCTCCTCGTCCTTCATGAACTCATTGATATCCACTCATTCTAGTGTCGTGACTCAATCCAAAGACTTGGTAGTTTCATCCACTCTAATGGACCCAACCCCTGAAGCCTCTGCTATCTTTGCCCCAACTTCTTTCTTCTTCTGGTCTTCTCAAGCAAGAAGGAAAATTTAGGGAATTAAGGTTTTGAGGAATGAAATGAAAATAAATGGACAACTCCTGTCATGCGACTCCAAATGTATGCATTAAAAAAAAAAAATCATGTTGACAATAGGAAATTACAACACGTGTCCAATAGGAATAGTGGCCAAAGTTTTATGTATACTAGTTTTATGTATACTAGTTTTACAACCGTGCAATGCACGGATTGTGTTATTTTTAAGGTAATATTAGCGTCTTGAATGTAAAAATTAGATGGGAAATTGTATTATAAAATTTCATTACACGCATTTGTATAAGGGCATCCAAAATTTGAACAAAGGGCAATAAATACCGTATGAAAACTGCCTCCAACCCTTCTCCAACATCAAGTCTGGAATTTGTTTTTCCTCACTTTTGTATCCCTCTCCCCAGAGGCCATTAATCAACAGGTTGGAAGTCACAGATTCAAGAATTCCGGACTTGGAGGTAAGCTTATGTAATGACAACAAGATTAAGTGCCCTCGAGAATACTTAGCCAAACACCGTAATAAACTAACTAATGTATCTAAAGAAGGTAGGAAATGCTCCTCAAGCATCAAGTCGAAAAAAGAGATAGTCAGCTACTCGATTGGGAGCACTCGTGGTCTGAACAAGTATGAAGTAAGTTTCCTCATCAAATGCACAACCAGCTATCATCATCTATGAAACCATGACCAAGAGATCATCCATGTGGCCAAACTTAAATAAACCTTTCGTGATACTATTATAAGTAGAACAAAAACAGACAGCACAAGAGTAGTAAGCCACTGACAGTAACCTGGTAGCACTGTCGACCATTCCGCTTGCACAGGTCTCATTGATTAACTTATCGAATGAGGTAGATCGAAGAGCTTAACCCTTCCTAGACATGTAGTAAAAGACTTTGGCTACCTCTCGAGTGTTTTCCCTCTGGCAAAGACATTCAACAAGTTCAGCATAAGAGATAGAATCTAGAACCCAACATTTCGATCTAACGGTGGAATACAACTTCAAACCAACCTCAAACTTCTCCATTCTGCAGTTACCAGTGATAAGAGCAGAATAAGTAGCAGAATCAGGAACAAAAAAAGAAACAATTATCCTACATAGAAACTCCGGTGCTTTACTGATTGTTGCATTCTCACAAAGTATTCCTCCCAAATATAGACGAAAAGTGTATTGTATGGAGAAGTGTCAATTACATTTTTCTCCTCCAAAAACATAATAGCTTCTGTTATTTAATTTACAAAAACCGTTTACTATATCCAAAAAAGTTTCTTCTTTAGGCAACAAGCCACAATCTATCATCTCTTCAAAAAGTTTTGTAGCATCATCCAAATGAAGATACTCACACAAACAATTTATCAAAGCCGCACAAGTAGCTGAATCTGGAGAAGCTCTCATCACCCTAAACAACTTCATGCTTACCTCTATATTCTGCAACCTACAGAATATAGGTATTACACAGATATAGAAACTCAAATCTGGCTCACATCCAATTTGAAACATCTCGTGAAGCAAAATAATCGATTCTTCCACTCGATTCCTAACAAGTATCTCAAAAGTCCTACTATTAGGATTACATCCTTTTTTATGCAATCTTCTGTACAGATCCAAAGCTGTATCAACTCTCCCAGCCTCAAACAATGAATCTAACCGGTAGTTCATAGTATCGATATCTAGAAGAATTCATGATTTCACCATTTCTTTA